CATTTTGAATCCATCAAGTGTGCTTGCTGATATATTTTGAATCAGTGTGTATAGTGCTTTAGACGATGCATTGATACATGAATTTGTTGTGTATCATAATGTTTTCTATGTAGCGGTTTTGAAAATTGTATTCAAAATAGATGATATAATCTTTGATTTTCAAAATTTGAAATTAATATTCAATTACGTACTAATTTAATGCTGATTAATGATCTGTTACCGTAAATTAAGCTATTTCAGTTAACAAGTTTAAATGTACTGTTTTTTCCCCATTTTTTTCTTAACAGTTTAAATTTACCATGTATCATTTACCATATATCACTAGAGTCTAAAGTATCACGGAACAAAAATTTTAAGGGATTTTTAGTAAATACTAAATTTGTCGAGACAGAGTGTAATTATTGAATTACACTATGAGATTCCTTAAATTTTTACTTTTATTTTTCTAAATAGGTATTTTTGATTATTTTACCTAAATTAAATATCAATACAAAATATAGGGGCAAAATTGTAAAAGACCCCTAATATTACGCAAACAACCTCTTTGTCTTCTTGTTCCATTCAGTTTCGCTAACAAGAGAAACAAATTATTTACAAATAAAAGTCCATCCAATAACATTACGCCACGTCAGACAACCATCAAATTCCGAAAACACGTCCAGGTTCAATGAATCTGTACACTGTCGTCTTCTTCAGGTGATATTTTTTTTCTCTTATAAATCAAAGAAGAAAAAAAAAGAAGCAAAATATTACAAATTCAACAAAAACCCAGAAAGCAAATCCTCTGTTTTTGTTTGAAAAAAGTATTTGGGATTGAAGATTTGTTGTTTGAGATTTGAGAAAATGGCTTTGGCTTTCAGTTCTTCGGCTGTAATTCATGGCTCTCTTTCTTCTTCATCTTCATATGAACAACAACAACCTAAAGGTTACCCATTACTCTTTTTCTCTCCATTTTTTCAGTTTTTGCTTTTAATTCTGTAAATGTGCTAGAGAATTTTCTCATCTGGGTTTCGTTTTTTTTTCTTCTTTGGTTCTCAAATTTTTAATTTTTGCACTTAAAACTGTTAATATGATAAAGATCAGAGAATTTAAACATCTGGGGTTTGCTATTTCTTTGTTTGAGTTCCTAAAGTTTCAATTTTTACACTTAAAAGTGTTAATGTGATGAAAATCGGAGAATTTTATCATCTGGGTTTCGTTTTTTTTGGTCTAATTTGCTGTTCTTTTTACAGTTTCACACATGGGTATCACTCAGCCGATGGATCGGTCTCGAATTCCATTGAAAGCAGTGAATTTTACTCAGAGGAGTTTGGCTATGAAGCCATTAGTTCCATTAGCAGCAACTATCGTTGCTCCTGGTGAGTTAATTAGATTTTTAGTAATTTGTGTGATTTACTGCTAATTTTTGTAATGGAAATGATTTATTTGTTTGCTTTTGTAAATTTTTTTTGTGGGGTTTAGAGGTGGAACAGAAAGCAGAAGCAGATGATTATGAGAAATTGGCAAAAGAGCTAACAAATGCTTCTCCTTTGAAGATTATGGATAAAGCCCTTGAGAAATTTGGAAGTGAAATTGCCATTGCTTTCAGGTATACCTTTTTTTTTTTGGATTAGGGGGTGTGTCCCTTTCTCGAACCCTGCTAACGCGGGATGCATTGTGCACCGGATTACCTATTGGTGTTGAATTTTCGTATCCAAATTGAAATTTAAGCATTGTAGCATGGAAAATATTGATCATGTTTCTTTTGTTTTAAAAAACTGGTTGGTGTTTTGTTTCATAGGAACTACTCAAGGTGGAGTATAATATCTCCTAAATGTGTATGAACATTGCAAACTAGTTTCATTTATATGTTTCTCACTGAAGATAACTTATGTTGCATTCTAATTTGTTAGTTTTTCCAAATCAATCATCAGTTAATGCTTTGTGTGATGCAAATGCGATGAAGAGTTTAGATGGTCATCATGCTATATCGTTTTTTTTTTGGTCTAGGATTTTGAGTATTATCCTGATACATCTGCTGTTCTACTTGTTTATCCGAAATGTTGGTTTCCTTTTAGATGTCTCTCTCAAATGAATTTCTAGATTGGTTAGCTCGCTTTGGTACATCTCCTAAATGATATCCTTATTTTGTAGTGGCGCTGAAGATGTTGCTTTGTTAGAGTATGCTCGTTTAACTGGTCGTCCATTTAGAGTATTCAGCCTTGAT